TTAAAGTAGGTTAATTGCTAGGATAGGTTATATTGGGATTATGAAATTCTTAAGCTCTTATTGGTTATTCCAAAGGGTTATTAAGCTTTTACAAGCTCTAATAATATCTATCCTTTTTGATACTAGGAGAGATTTATATGTCATATGAAGGTAAGTTATAATCTCATTAACTGGAATTGCTTGCTTATAAGGCTTATAAACAAGAAGGTGGAATGGAAGAAGGATAGTAAAAGGCTCCATCTTAAGAGTGGTGGAGTTAAAGAGTAGAGAAGATAGCATTTGACCATCATGAATTGAGTTTACATGTATAGTCATGTGAGTGGCTATGCTAGTGTGTTGGCATGTGAGTGGACTAGTGGCTATGCTAGTAGCTGGAATTGTGGCTATGGAAGTGCACAGGGTCCAGCGCCAAGATCACAGGGGGTCACCCCATCAAAACCACCCAAAACATACCCAAACTTCAACATCAAATATCTGGCTCTATATACATCACACGAAGCTATAGTTCTCAGCGTTTAAAGCCTAAAGCAAGCACTTTCAATGCATCTACTTTTTATTGTTTTTGCTCAAGGATAATCAAATCAATTCTACCCCCTGTTTTGCAAGTAGGTCCACCACTTTGGTGCAGTTTTAAATCAATTCTACTATAATTGAATTAGGAATACTGGTTAACTGCAATTTTCAGTGTTTGAAGCCTGAATCAAGCACTTTCAATGCATCTACTTTTTATCGTTTTTGCTCAAGGATAATTCAATCAACTCTACTCATATAAATTTCAATCAACTCTACCCCTTATCATACAAGTGGGGCCAGCCCTTTTGGTGCAGTTTTCAATCAACTCTACTATAGTTGTTTAGGGAATACTGGTTAGGCTGGTTAGTGTTAGGAGGAGTATTAAGCTAAATAGGAGATGATGGGAAACTATACCTAGTAATGTTCCTTTTAAAAGGATTATATAAAGTAATAGTGAATTATAATATAGGAGATAAGGAGCTGATAGCTATTATCTGGTACCTAGAGGAATAGGTACCATACCTAAGTAGCATAGAAGAACCTTTTGATATCCTTATAAACTATTTAAACTTAAGAATATAGGTAACTAAGAAACTTAATAGAAGATAGACCTGATGGGCTAAGTTCCTTGCTTAGTTTAACTTTAAAATATACCATATTAAATAAAAAGAAAATGGAAGAGCAGATATATTAAGCAGAAGGATTAACCATAAAATAGAAGATAAACCTAAGACTCTACCTATCCTTTAAGAACTAGAAGATAGAATCCTTAGAAAGATATTATAAGTATTCCTAGAATATTATACTAGCTACTAAGTAAAGTAGTAGAATAATAACTTCTAATATAAGAGAGGTATACTTGATGATAAAGAACTTTTACTAGAAGTAGAAGGAGGAGTAGAAGAAGATTTATTACTTTGGTATTATAGGAAAGCCTATATTAAACCAAAAAGATAAGAAGAGTATATTTATAAAATATATAAAGCCTAAACTAAAGGACATATAGGAATTGTTAAAACATTAGATTAGTTATGAAATAGTTATAACTTCCTAAAAGCAAAGAGAATAGTAGAAAAGGTAGTATATAACTATAATGTCTATAATAAGATAAAGAACCAAAAACATACATAATATAGCCTATTAGAACCATTACCTATCCTAAGATAAAAATAGAGTTCTATCTTAATAGATTAGGTATTAGGGATACTTGACTTAAAGGATCTAGTAATAGGTATCAAGTATAACCAGATCTGGGTCATAGTAGATAGACTTATAAAGTGGGCCTACTTCCTACTAGTAAGAAAGGACATGAGAGTAGAGTAACTTACTTATCTTTTTAAAAGAAACTATATTATAGTATACTTATAGCCTGATAATATAATAATAGATAGAGAGAAGCTGATTGTCTTTACCTTCTAGTAAGGATTAATGATAAGAATAGAAGTTAAGAGTAAGCTCTTAACTACTTACCACTCATAAATAGATAGATAAATAGAATAACTTAACTAGACCCTTGAAACATATTTGAAAGTATATATTAATTTTAAACAAGATAACTAGTTAGAACTACTATTGATAGTATAAATAGCCTATAATATAATAATGGTAGAGTCTATAAAAGTTTTACTATACTTTACTATCTATGGATAAGAACCTGAACTCTAAAGAGGACCACCCTATAAGATACCAAGAGTAAGAGTTAGGGCAGATAGAATTTAAGAACTTATAGAGCTCTTAAAAGAAGAACTTGAATATATATGTAAAAGGATGAAGGTCTATTATGATAAACATAGAGTTAAGGGACTAACTCTAGAAGAGGGAGACCATGTCTACCTGTTTTCCAGAAATTTAAAAACAAAACGACCAAGCAGGAAGCTTGACTTCAAAAGGTATAGACTGTTCTGAATCAAGAAGAAGGTAGTGACGACAAACTATGAACTAGACCTACCAAAGACCATGAGAATCAGGACCAGAGTCTTCTATGTGTCACTGTTGGAACCAGCACCAAAGAACGTCCCACTGGAAAAAACCCTTGAAGTAGAAGTAGATGAAGAAGAATTCAAAGTGGAGGAACTTCTGGATTCATGGTTTGAAAAAAGAGTGTTGCAGTACCTAGTCAAGTGGCTTGGCTACGGACCTGCAGACAACTCCTGGGAGCCACACACAGGGCTTTGGTGCCCAGAGTTGGTCGAGGATTTCCATCGCCTAAATCCTGACAAACCAAAAAGGAAAAATGCCCCCAGGAGGAATTGAACCCCCGACCTCTTCGACACTGTACAGGACAACTTGTCGCACGGGACATGCACAAGTTGCCCAATACACAAGAGCGAAGCGCGCTACCACTGCGCCACAGGGACGAGATTGTTGAAAACGGCCCGGGTTACGACGACCTATGAAGACCTGACATGCCTAGACACAAGGCATTAGTACACGAATCTCCATTTCTCTTATCTCCATTTTTTCCTTATACTGTCAAGAAAGAAAGGGTGTTTACCCAGGGTCAGAGGAGGAACCAGTAATAGGACCCATGTCGTTCAGAAGCTCAGGGTCAAGCCAGGAGGCCAGGGAAAACATGGCTGGAACTACTGCTGATAGCACAAATAGCCTATAATATGACAATGGTAGAGTCTATGAAAGTTTTACTATACTTTGCTGTCTATGGACAAGAACCTGAACTCTAAAGCGGACCACCCTGCAAGGCACCAAGAGCAGGAGTCAGGGCAGATAGAATTTAAGAACTTATAGAGCTCTTGAAAGAAGAACTTGAACATGTATGTGAAAGGATGAAGGTCTATTATGATAAACATAGAGTTAAGGGACCAATTCTAGAAGAGGGAGACCATGTCTACCTGTTTTCCAGAAATTTGAAGACAAAATGACCAAGCAGGAAGGTTGACTTCAAAAGGTGTGAACCATTCTGGATCAAGAAGAAAGTAACAACGACAAACTATAAACTAGACCTACCAAAGACCATAAGGGTCAGGACCAGAGTCTTCCATGTATTGCTACTAGAACCGGCACCAAAGAATGTTCCATTGGAAAAAACCCTGGAAGTGGAAGCAGACAAAGAAGAATTTGAAGTGGAGGAAATTCTGGATTCATGGTTTGAGAAAAGAGTGTTGCAGTACCTAGTCAAGTGGCTTGGCTATGGACCTACAGATAACTCTTGGGAGCCACATACAGGACTCTTATGCCTAGAGTTAGTTGAGGACTTCCACCGCCTAAATCCTGACAAGCCAAAAAAGAAGAGTGCCCCCAGGAGGAATTGAACCCCCGACCTCTTCGACACTGAACCTGACAACTTGCCGCATGGACTATACACAAGTTGCCCGATTCACAAGAGCGAAGCGTGCTACCACTGCACCACAAGGGCAAGATTGTTGAAAGTGGCCTGGGTTGTGATGACCTATGAAGACCCGACATGCCTAGACGCAAGGCATTAGTATATGAATTTCTATCTTTCCTTATACTGTCAGGAAAGTAAGGGTGTTTACCTGTGGTCAGAGGAGGAACCAGTTAGAAGACCCATATCATTCAGAAGTTCTGGATTGAGCCAGGAAGCCAGAGAGAAGTCCAGAGCAGGAGAAGAAGCGGACGCTTGCTCTGACGCTTCAAGCTCCGCAATGTCCCAGGACTCCTGAGCAAATGCCTTATAAGCCCTCTCCTCCAAGGCATGACATTGCTTATGCAGCCGAAGGAGTCTTTACTAAGCCTCCATGCTGTCTAACAAAGCCTTCTCTTTGGCCTTGTCAAGTCTGTTCTTTTGACTAATCAGTGAGTCAAAGACTGATTGACTCAAGCCTGTAATGTCACAAGAAGTGGTGTTTGACGAAGTATAAGGACCACAGCGTCAAGAGCCCTTGGCAACTTTGCATTCAAGACTCTTGTCACTACAACAAGTACATAAAGGCATCAGGGAACCAAATGAAAAAGCATTATTGGCAGAATGAAGATGATATGTAGTACTAGGTTCAGGATTGGAAGGAGGATTTTTTTGTTTATGACCCATTGCAAAGAGGTAACCAGAATGGACTAAGTTGTGACTTGAGATGGCAGGGTAAGTGCACTCTTATAGTGGAGCCATGGCAGATCTTTGGGGCAGAAGATCTAGGGAGGAGAGACCATGTATGACATCCCACTCTGGAAAGTGGAGTCATGTGATTTGTCATGTGACTTTAAGTGATCTGTGTGATCTGTGAACAGATTGCATAGAGCAGTATACTTGGTTTCTTAATCTATATGATCTGTAAACAGATTACACAGATCATGGTCCTGCGCACCAAGAAGGGTATAAGGTACCTTATCTCCCACCACAAGATAGTTAGTATAAATAACCATTGTGCACTGTACCATGGAGCATGAGGATTCCTATTCCTTATGTAAGTAATTACATTCTATTGTGTCGCATTACTTTACAAGTCTTCGGTGATAGCAATCTGTGCAACAGAGTATGAACCCCCTTCTTGAGATACTTGCCTTTGAGAGTCAACCTTCCTCTACAACCCCAACCCTAGAGCATGTGGCTCTATGATCTATTGTTTAATACCAGGTACTTAGGTACCTAGTGTGTAGGTTGTAACATGTAGGTGCCGGCCACTCTGGTTCATGCAATGGCATGCACAACTCACCCTTGTCTACCCAGATTGACTCTCTCTCCAATTCTTTGTCTTTAGAATATAGACTAGAGTCCTCCTATAAATTTGAATCAGTTGACTTGCCCTCTGACTTGTCAAGATCTTCCTTACCCTCAAGTAGCTTCTCTACTATCTAGTTCACCTCATGGCTCTTCCATCTAACTTGGCTGACCCTCCTTGTATTTGTTGCCTCCCTTACAGTGGATAACCTCCTTAATATGATAGGTAATCCTTTCAATCCATTGGCGAATTTTCAACTGATCTGTGTCTCTCCAGGCCTTCCTCCATGCCTTATCAGCTGCCTTCTGACTCTAGGGGGCTCCATTCTTTGTGGGTTGACGCTTAAGGTAGAAACATGTGGGCTTAATCATATTAAAGTCAGGAGAATTCAGACACCAAAGCAGGCATTATATCTCCATTATACTTATCAGCATAATGTTGGCGCAGTGGGCATGTGCCGGTGCCCTGTCTTCTTGGACCAGGAAATCCTTACCACATCTCTAGGTAAAAGGTAATAACTTTAGAAGAAGCACCTGCTTTTAATACTGATACCAGTCAATACCCTTCCCTTTACCTCACGTCAGCTTACCCTTATCCTTTATCCATTTCCACTATAGGATTCATCCAGGATTGTAATAGTTGATTCAAAGGCAAGACATAGGGTTAGTAAGTTCCTATTTGGCATGACAAATAGGCTCTAGCTGGTTGTTTAAATCCTGGTCAGCTAACTTCTAGTCTTATATAGACTCTGCCTTCTGGATATAGTACAGACCTTTATGGTCATATGAAAAGCAACCCCAGAACATAAAACTCTGAATACCCCTTCCATCTCTCATAAATATAAGCCCAGAGATGCCATTCCTCTAGCGTCCTCCAAATCCTATAACCACCACTGGCGATACTCTAAAACAACAGACGTTTCGTCCAACCAAATCACCTTCTTCTAATCCTCAAGGGTCCAATCTTCATGATCAAGACACCAGGCTAACCACTACGCCCTTATTTCCTTTGTTAAGCCAGGCTTTCTAGTAGGCTTAGTCTTCCTCATGCCTACTTTCCAAAGGATCTACTAGATAGTTATGGCGGAGACTCATCCCTCTAGTTCAATTGCAATCTAAGCACACTGACTTCTCTCAGCCATAATGATCATGATGAACCTGGAGAAGCACCTCCTCTTTAAAGGCCTCTTGTTTCCATGGCTGGCCAGACTTCAGAGCGTCAGTGACATGCTTGCTTGAGAGATGGCCAAGCCGACCTTGGCTGAGCGGCTTAAAGCTAGCCTTAACTGTGCTGTCGAAAATATTATTAAGAGTCCAGGCAGTAATGCCAGTCGTCTCTTCGATTTGGGCATTGGTCCAGCCCACAACTTTAAGAGTTAGTGCCTAAGCACGCATGGCAGCATCTATGTATGGCTTCATGGCTGTAAGAGAGACTGAACGATGGGGATAGGGGACGTGCTGGTTATGGGGAGAGGAGAGGGTGCATGGCATGTTGTAATAGCTATAGTAACAGCAACAGCGAGTAGAATTGAACATGTTGGACACTCCCTCTTTAGGCCTAAAAAGCTTATCTTGCAGCCCAATAACCAACTATTTCCATGGCAACGCTGGCATAGCTGGCATGTGGTGTGGTTTGACGCGGTCCAATAGATGGCACAACCTTCCAGATTAGGGCAAGTAGGCCAAGATTCGTCATTTAGCCCCTGTATTCCAGTGGCTGGCAGGGGGTCTGCGTGGCTTGCAGGAGGGCGAGGATCTGGCGAATTGGCTGAGGAGCCTATGCGCTGAAGGCCCCTGTGGCAGATTCTGCCGGCAGAAAAATGGCAAGGGCGGTCAGAAAAGACTTTTGGTAGGGTAGTCTGTAATACATGGTGCCTTTGCAGTTGCAAGTTAATTGAAGAAGAGGGTAGTTGCTTGTTGCCAGTCACATCCAAACCACCATAGAGCTCCTTGTAGCAATCAGGGACAGGATCACCAAGTGCCATGTATGAGAACAAGTTAACAAGGTCACTATCTCGGAAAGTGTAATGAAGAATAGATGAACAAACAACAAGGGTTCCATAAGAATAGAATTCCCCTCAGCTTTACTAAAGTTCAGCTGATAATCTTTTAAACGTTGTTTTCCAAAAAGGACTACAGAGCTTCCTCCTCCTTTAAGGGTTCATCACTTCTTTTGTCTCTTTTATAGAAGGCTATGTACTAGATACAATGATACCCATGCTTTGTCCTAACTTATCAGTCCCAAGAAGTTCTAGCCGCCTGTCACACATGCCCTATCAATCCATGGCTACATACCAAGTAAAGTCGGCCATCATATAATAAGTCCATGGCCTATGTTGGTACTTACTCCTAATAGCTTTAGTGGCTTAGTGTCCATTGCTGTGGAGGTTCCCTCAAGTCCTTAGTACTAGCACTGGCCATAGCTTCATTAGGTTGGTCCCACATTGACTGTTGTAGCAGTGGTTCCCTTCATGACTCATTGCTGCCTAAGTGGGCCTGGTCATGACCACCTGTCACCACTGAGATGGGAGTCCAGCAAATGTTAGTCCAATGTTTTCCAATGAGATGACTATGATATTAGGGAGGCCCCTGATTGAAAGACCATCATATGATCCATTTAGCTGTCATGTAGCCTGGACCATGATGCTGAGGTTATGTGGTTTGTCCTATCATAAATCTAAAGTCTGATGATAGAGGTCAGTGCAGGATGATCCACTATGTGGATTGCCCTTGCTTGTATATGGCCCTGGATCCTTCTAATGTTACCTACTAAGATGCCAGAGGTCCTTAGTTTGTCCATGGCAGATCTAAAGCCTGATGAATGTCCTAGTCAGGGGAATATTGGAAGGGGCGGTGGTTAAGGGAAAACCCATTGGTTTATATCCTTAAGTAAACCAATGGGTTTTTTTCCAGTCAGATCATACAGTGAGCTTGGGGGAAAGAGGGTTGATTGTCCACTAGCTACTTGTCTATCTCAAGCCTCTTTGTAAAACCCACCAAATCCTCAACGCATTGCTCCCGGATATCTATCCGATATGCTATGGTACGTTTCCCATCGAGATCAAATCAAGATAAATACATAACCCGACATAGTCAACCCATGAAAAATCATGCGCTTCCTGCACTTGTTTCCTTCTCCGTAGCAGATCCCGTGCGTCCCATGCGTCGTCGCTTGAGTTGACGACTCTGTGACTCGCCTTGGCTCGCTGTGCGAGTGTGCTTGGATACTCGGCCATCGCTGAAATCAAGTGTGGCCTGTCTAGGCGGGGGGGACTGCTCTGCTTCCTTCGCTAGGGCCGCGGTCCCTGGAGATAGCGGAGCATCTGCAACTGTCGTTTCCTCTCCTTCGTCCTCATCAACCGCCTCCGCCTCCGCCTCCGCCTCCGCATCCTTCTCCGCGAACGGGTCTTCTAATCAGAGATATCTAGATTGGATAATGACTTGTCCTGAGACTTGTCCCCCACCATGAAATCGGCGTGGCCCAAGAGGTCATCCCCTGGTGTAACGTCAAACAACAGATTGTCTGCCTCATCAGATATTTGTTCCTGAAGGCGAGACAAGTTAAAGGTATAGGGCAGCCCAGCCTCACAGAGTGAAAGCTGGGCGGCCACTACCTTGTCATATGCCTGCTTGACATGTCTTTTTGACTATGTCAATGGCATATTGGCCAAGTTCCTCTGTTATGTGGTGTGGGATGTCAGATAAGGAACCTGTAGGCTTGTCTTGGGATCGTGTGGGGG